CGGTTTGGGGCATTCATTTGACACGTGTCCTGTGAGGGCGGGTTCCTGTGAGGCACCCGCCCCTTCCCCTCGGCGGGTGAAGGTTAAGCAAGCTATACATAGTGCGTAAAAACTCCTCAGGAGCACAGTTCGGTGCTCAAAAGGCACCGCCCGAAAGGACTGAGTTGCTGGGCCAAAACTAGCCGGTGCGGTAAAAGCCCGTTTTGAGCCGGTTCGACGCTCGTTGGATAGGTATTAGCTCTTGGCAGTAACGGTTGCGGTGAATGGCATCGGTTGTAATGCAGACGATGTGATGCTGATGAGCATTTTTAATGAGGAAGTTCACAGACATCACTGACAAGTAGCAGCCGGTTTCATCGTTTTATAGGCATCGGCTCCATCCGTTTTTAGTGTTTATTGCTACTTTATAGGAGTTGGGAATCTAACCCAGCGCAACAAGCACCGTGTGTCGTATTTTCTTGTCAAAAAATAAAGACATTCATAGCATTTAAATCAAATTATTGCAAAACGTTGTGACGATTATGCAGATATTGGTGTTTTTGAGCTTCAGAATCTGAAACTAAACCAATACCTATCCCAGAACTAAGTATATGCTACCAAAGGCCATTTGTTCATTTTAGTTGTTGTTTCTTAACCCGCGCCCGGCTGGGGGTCCTGGATTTCCACGCCCTGCTGGGGGGGTGTTTGAACACCCCCCCCCCCCCTTGTAACTCGGCTCCTGGGCCACGTAGCGATACGCGGAAGGCGGCGTTCGAAAGAGCGTCAAAAATAATGACGAAATCACTTCGGTCAATTTTTTGGTCAGGTCAAAGGTCAGGTCACCAGAGGTCATTGAAGGCAAAATTTCGCCGATTTCCAGGTCGAATGTCAAAAATTTCCAAGAAGCCAACGCATAACTCGGGAACCAATAGAGCTACAGCGCCGCGGAAAAGCGCATTCGATAGCCCTATTAACGCCCTTTCTGAATAATTCTCTCAGATTTGACCAAACTTCAACGGTTTTGCCTGCAGGGGGCAAAAACTGCAAAAATAGCCGATTTTTTCGGAAACAGTTTTTCTGCAATAACTTTTCACCCAGGCCTTGTACGAGCTTACTTCTACCGGCATCGTGTTCCTCTCGTCAAGACGCATCGAATGAACTAGAAAAAAAAACTTGACCTTGAAAGGTCAACTTGAAAATTTGACCTCAGGTCAAGGTCATGACCTGACCGGAAAGGGTCATGTTGCATATCAGTCGATCCGTATCGTCGAGCTGAACACATCTAAGGCGTTTTCATCGCTCTAGCATGCCTCTATCAAAAGTTATTTGCGAAACACTGTTAGATACTATTTGTGACCTAAGATGACCTCAGGGCATAAACAAGGGTCACGGACACCATTTTCATGTTCTGTGTGTCTAAACCACTTGTAATTCGGTGTTTGGGAGTGTTTATAATGTCTTTCGTCCAAAAGAGGCGCATTTCAATTATCTCCCATTGACTTATAATGGGGAGGTCGCAAAATTGACCTGACCTTAGGACATCGATATCAAAATTCTGAGATACACATTTTGTACATGCTATTGCTCTTAGCAATCGCTGAAAGTTTCAAAGCGATTGGTCACTCGGTGTAGCTATGACAGACATTGAAGCTTTATATGAGGTGAGGTCACTTCAAGTGACCTGGTGACCTGACCTTGAATGACCTTGGTCTGAAATTTTCACAACATGTGTAAAATTGATGTATGATAAGGTGTACCAAAAACGGCGGCGCTCCGCGCCGCCGTTTTTGAGATATTCGCGAAAAACCACAAGGGGGGGTGTTCAAACACCCCCCCCCAGCAGGGCGCGGGTTAAATGAGATTTGGGTCCAGGTTTCTGACTGATGCACCGTTCGTATTCTACAAAGGCTTAGAATGTTTTCAGTGGGAGAACACAATTTTAACGGATGGCGCTGTTCTTTTCAACAAATGAGCATTGGCTGATAAAAATTAAGCTGTTGGCGGCGCTCGCGGTCAGTTTCTCATTACCCGTCAGTCGTCACCATTTAACCTAACGCCATTTCTGTTAGGTGCTGGCAGGAGCCGTCCTGGCCGCGCCGCCCTCTGACCCCGTGACTTCGGTCGTCGGTGACACGGTGGTGACCTCGGCCGCTGACCTCGGGGACACTCCCGCCGTCTATGTCAAGCAGCGCGCTGTCGTGAAGGTGAGAAACGCTCCGGGGTCCACTTCCGAGTGATGGCATGTAAGCTGGCTACAGACTACCAATCACTAATTGTCATGCCTGTTTGCTCTCTGTGAGAAATGTAAACGTCATCGCTCGATCCTATCTGTCTAAACTGAAATTTCCCGAACGCCGTAACGCGTTTTACACATTCAGATTGATTAATCTGAACACCTTTACGAGAGGCTTTCATCAATTTGTTTACACTGACGTATCCGTGACAGAGACACGCTGCTCTATTCACATGACGGTGAGGCTGAAATCGAGGCGGGAGAGTCTGCTGACACTGCCCAGTCCTCGGACGAGCGCAGCAGCGGATGGAAGGCCCCCGGCTGGCCTCCGTCGTCCTCGTTTCCCCCTCTCCTGCAGCTTTCCATCGACACGCTGCGCCAGTGCACGGCTCAGAACGGCGACGGCGGCTCTGACATCGACAGGAACGGCCGCGGCAGCAGCAACAAGCCGGTGCTGCGCGCCGTGGGCTGTACGCAGGCGGTGCTGCGCGACGGCCAGCAGACCATCCTGGGCCGCCTGCAGCACCTGCAGATGGCGCTCTGGCAAAAGGTCGAGACGCTCAAAGATGCCGTTAAGGACATCCGACAGGAGGTGGACGGGGGTGGCAAGAAGGGCGCCCTGGACGACATCCAGCGCGGAGTTGACGATCTGGTCAGGTGGCAAAGGAGGCAAGATACCTACCTAGAAGACCTCAAAAGAGATCTACTGGAAGAACTTGATGCAGGGAAGAAAGGTCAAGGAGTAGCGCTTAGGAAGCTGACAGACATTCTAAGGGAGACAGAACAGCTGAATGATGATACCTCGTCGCTGAAGAAGGCAGTAGAGGATATAATGAATGGAATGGAAAGAAATGCAGACAAGCTGAGTGATGAGCAAGCTGACCTGGCAAAGGCTTTGGCTTCGATTAAAGACAATATGAATGAACGCCTTGGCAACATAGAAGCAGAAGTAGCGAAACTAGTTCCTGATAATGATGGCGATGGCAAAGACTTTAAAGCAGCCCTTCGGGAACTTAAAGCTTTTATCAGTAATTCAAATGGTGAAGTCTCAGTAGCAATGAGATCCGCGTTGGCAGATTTCGCGCAGGAAAATACCCGAAAACAATCGGAGATAATCCAAAAAATTGCCGAGAAAGATAGCTTCTTGGAGAAAAACTTCAAGGACTTGAAGAGAAACCAGGAAGAATTGAGTTCCTCCCTTAGTAAAGTATCAGATGACTTTAAGTCAGATGTAAGATTACTTAAAAATGAGCTATTGAATGAAATTCGACCACAGCAAAGCAGTCTGGCAGAAATAAAAAACCGACTTGATGGTCTTATAGTAGGCGATCCATCTAGTGTCGTTAAAGTTGTAGAGGAGAATGGAGCAGCCATTGCCAACGTTGCATCAGAAGTAGATAAGCTGAAGGAAAACGTTGTATCTGTAAGCTCTTCTCAGCTCATGCTCAAGGAACAGATCGCAGGCCTGAACAGAAAAATGGACCGTCTATTTGACAAGGTAAATTCCATCGGCGATGGCGCCGATAGGCCCAAATGTCGGGGGAACGAGGTGCTGATCGGTTCCAAGTGCCGCCGGTGTGCCAAGGGCTACAGGGGGAACTCTGACTCGCGCTGCTATCGCCTCGTCTCGGAGAAGAAGACATTCGATCAGGCCAAGAGGTCCTGTGAAGCTGATCGCGCCTACCTGGCTGTGGTCGATGAATCCAACCGACAGCTCATCTCTGACTTCGCCTCAGACCTAGATGATAACCAGTTCTGGGTAGGGTCATCACCGAGCTCCCCTTCCCCCGCTATTCAAGAATCAGGAGAAGCGGATAACGCAAATGGAGCCGCCAAATGTAATGTTGCATTTTTCAAGAATGGAGAAGTGAATTTCACTGACAGGCCATGCAACTCCCGCAAGAGTTTCTGCTGTCAATCGGCATTTTTACAGCCAGTCAATGAGTAAGGGAGGTACACATGAAGACTGGGAGCAGATGGGGTTTCACGCCAGTTTTCAGTACATTCGTGTTTCTGGATTTCGCCGAAACTTTGAAGCAATCGGTGGTCACTGAGCAGAATCCTGGCTAAATAAGCCTAGCGACTTGATGTGCAAGCTTACAGCTTGCTAAACACAACATTGGTCGACAGTTTTTGTAGCTTAAATGCGATATAGCTGCTTATGAACCCGTTGACTGGTGCCTTTTTATATCATTTTGTGTATAGGAGCAGTAATACCTGTTGGTTCTCAAACTAAACGGAACGAGAAAGGCGTCCTGTTTACATAAAAAGCTGTTATTGTTGTAGGTATAGATGTAGGCTGGGACAATCGGTCTATCTCATGCCTGGCGTCTCTTCGTTCTGAGTGATGTTTATGCGACTCGTGTGTCTATTATCTAGGGATATTTATTACTCTATAGTTTTGTGAACGTGGTGAATGGTGTCTACTGTGTATAAGCATTACACTGTAGTGAAATAAACGGTACGCTATTTAATCAACGAACAGAATGGCTCATTGAACCACGCAAAGCAGTAAAATCTAAACGCTTGCGACTGCAGTTACAGGCAAATAGATGGAATACACTGCCAAATGAAAGGCAATACCGTCACGCGAAGGGCACGAAAAACATTTTATCGTATAGCTGCAGCAGTTCTAATGTTGACAGGAGCAGCTGCTTGGTACGGTGCTAGGCCATCTCACCTAGTTCATGGGATGCTGTTCGGACGGGCTCCCTTCTCAACTGATATTCAGTTGGCTTCGACGCACCGCCGAAGGTGATTGTATCTCCGGGCACGATGCCTACTGACTGTTACTGGTTTATTTTTGTCCTCGCTATAGGCAGAAACAGGCATGTCGTAGCAGGTCAGATGTTCGCACGAAAGGCAATACACGCAGACCCACGCAAACACTTTTTGAAAACAGGCACAATAGATCACAGCGAGATTAGTGTTGACGCTTAGGCAGTCGTACATGGTCGCTTCCACGTGAGGCATTGATCACTAAACAGTGAACACACAATAAATGTTATCGGGTTTTTCACACGTGCACCAAAAACATGTGCAGGGCCGCACTGGTGCGGCTGATCTGAATGCTAAGTAAAAACAAGAATAAATGGTGAGGGAACTGCTGCATACCCGCATTTAGAGTTGCTTACCTACTCGCCTGGCGGAATTGCATGGGTTCTCGGCGAGCGAGGGCAAACTTTATTTATAGTCACCGTGCTTTATGGTACGATGCAGTGCAACAGTCCTGCAACTGCAGCCACACAATTTAACAAATTTGAGCGTCGTCATCAACTGACAATGGATATGGCACAACTCAGTCTCGGCCCCCGCCGAAGTTAGTCGGTAGCACTGCTGCTCCACGGCGTACATTTCCTACCAGCCCATAGGGTTTACATGTTAAATGGCCTGTTTTCGGCGAGCGATATCTCGGTCAACCTTTAAAGGAATCAATGGTTCTTAGTCTCAAATGATAGATCGATGAATTTTCTTTCGACAATTCCTCTACCATTTTTCACGAAACCCAGCCGATCTTCTACGGCGTACAGGGTAAAGATTTCTCTGCACGCCAGCACCCGCGATCCGGCTCTCCGATCGTCGGCGCGCGGTCCTCGGTAGCGCAGTCGGTAGCGTACCGGGCTAAGGATCCGAGGGTCGTGAGTTCGAATCCTGGGAGCGCCGCGTGATTTCGGCTAGAATTGAATGATGTAGATTCTTGAATGTTTGCATAATCAATTATTAATAGCTAATTGAATGTATCTGCCCACTAATCGGCCCCTAAGACCTTTTATTTAAGAAATTTAATAAATGAATGTCACGTGCGCGTCACGACTGCCAACCATAAGCGCTACCATATTCTAGTTTGAACTAATTTTTTGCTGGTCCCGACCACATATAGTATGTTTTCTAGTAGTTATACTAGAAATTCCTACCAAAGTTCGTCCTACCCTTCACTCAATATACCCTGCTCAGTCTGCCTTTCTCTCTGACATGTACTTACCTAACTAGGCATTTCGTTTTATCTAAATGGGATCGGTCTTACATACCTACCTATCTGTCATTGCTTGATCCCACTCGTGACTCTGAAGGTGTTCTTCATGTTCTTCACTGCCTCACAACCCACCACGGCACACAAAGCACACGATGACCAGTGATCACTGCACTGCAGGCACTGCACTGCATTGCACTGAGGTGGCGCATCGCGTTGCCATGGAGACCCAAGCTGCATTGTTTCTCGTTACCATGGCGACCCAAGTGGCGGCGCCTCTGGACAGCTATCACCAAAGATGGCTGCGCACAACGTGAGCACTTGGCCAGTAAGCTGTCGAAGATATTTGTGCGTTGTTCTGTCAATCACTGACGGCTTCTTTTTGCACTCGAAGCCTCCCATTTCACATATTCGGTAGTGATGAACTAAGCCGTAGTGTTCTCCCACGGACATGGCTTTGAAACCTGAAAAGACAAACTGAGCTGATGTCACAATATTCAAAAGCTTATTCAAAATTCAATTCAAAGGCATAAATGAAGGTGAAACAGCATCAAGTTTCTGAAATGCGTTTTTAATTGGTTTAGAAAATCATTCAAATTAAATGTCAAATTATGTGGCCATACGAAGAATGGGCAAGAAGTAGATCATTATACATTTTGCCATTTTCGATTCCAGACAGCGAGACAGCGAGACGGCGCTGCAATGTCCATGTGACAGGGAAGCAACCGCGCGGTTGCTGACGAATGTTGTGCTAAGAGGAACGAAATTTCATGATATAATCAGACGAAATTTAGCATGATATGACTGAGGAATGAGACGAGGCTGCCTGCTGAGTGCTGACATATAGTCATTCAAGAAGAGCAGAAAAGAAAAATGACAGAGGATCTATCCTCAACAATACAACAAAAGTAGCCCATATTGATACGTTTCATGACTCGCGTCTATGGTAACACGCCCCAGCGCGGCGGTCGCTTATAAACTATGTACGAGGGACAGGGTTCACCCGCGGCTCGTATTCGGGCCATTACCATCAGATCGGACAGTGATACGGACACGTTCCGCTTTCCACGGTCAGCAGCGGAATGACAGGGGACCGCGGGAATTGCTATTAATCGAGGTCAATGTTTAACGACTCTGCGACCACCTATATGACCTATTAACAACGTCCGTGCATCGGTGCTAGTGGCCATTGCCGTATACTGGCCGAAGTGGTAGCGTCTGTCTATAACTAAACTAGACATCACACCATTGAATGGAAAACGATGCCGCAGTTATGAGTAAACATAAGCCGGTCCCGTAGCTCAATTGGTAGAGCGTTGGACTCCGCGTGGCGTTCCCGGTTACAACAGTCCGGGTTCGAAGCGCGACGGGCGCTTGATATTTATGGGCCTCCTGACAGGTATGGTTGCGGTTGGCCGTGGCGGCAGGCCGTAGCCAGGCGAAGTCAGTGAGGGGACCGGCCGTGCGCGGCTATGTGCGCACGTTAAACTTTGGCCTCTAAATTCTGCCATAGAACTGGAATTGCGCGATCGGAGGGTAGAGGGCAGTGTCACCGCAACAAGCTTCGCTTAGCGGTGGCTCTGTCCTTGTGAATCCTTCCTTATAGCAAAAGGTTCGGACTAAATTTATATATAAAAAAAACATTCACTTACAAGAGTAGGTAAATAGTAAATACATTTGGTATACCTATTTCTTCCTGAGATAACTTCTACTATGTTTAACAAATAACATTACTTTGGATGGAAAAAAGTAAATTCAAAAAAGTAATTCCTGTATGACGCTACCACTCACAGACCGATGTCACCGTCCCCCCCCCCCCCTGTGCGGGGTGGGTGCCGTACCGCCGGTGACCCCCCCCCCTCCAGCCGACGCTCCTCTCACCTGGCACGTGCTGCCAGACCTGGTGGTTTCCCACCTCCACGGCTCGCTCGGGCGCCACAAAATACTTGGAGCGCGAGAAGAAGCGGAACGGTTCCCGCATACGGCGCGTCTTGAACAGGGTGATTAGGTAGGGGAAGCGGCGCTCGCCGGCTGGAGAGAGCTGCAGCTGCTCCGCCACTGCTGTGTCGTTCTCCCAATATAGGTAGAAGAAACAGTTCTGCAATGACAAAAGGACACTTTAGGTCTTCAAACACTTTAGGTCTTTAGGACACAAACACTTTAGGACACTTTAGGTCTTCAAAGGACAAACAGGTCTTCAGCGGCACATGTTGGAAGTGCAGCAGCTGTCCTTCCATTCAAGCTTGTTCATGCATGTTCATCCATCAGCCTTTACAGTGGCTCAGTACCTATGCAATCCCTCCCTCCCTCCCTCTCTCTCTCTCTCTCTCTCTCTCTCTCTCTCTCTCTCTCTCTCTCTCTCTCTCTCTCTCCCTCTCTCTCTCTCTCTCTCTCTCTCTCTCTCTCTCTCTCTCTCTCTCTCTCTCTCTCTCTCTCTCTCTCTCTCTCTCTCTCTCCCTACCTTGAACACAAAGGAGCCATAGTTAGCTCGCCGCCGGCTATCCAGCAGCTCAAACATATCCCCATAGCCGAGGTGCTGTCGCGGTACAATGTACTCGTCTACGTCCACGAGCAGCGCGTACCGGTACCGGTACATGGAGCGGTACACGCAGTCGTTGAGCGCTGCGAACATGTTTTCGGTACGAATCTCCTTCTGTGACCTGGCGAGAGGGGGGGGGGGAAGGCAGATGGTAGCGCGCCCGGGTTAGAGACCGGCAGGTCATGTGCTGTTGGTGACCGTGTTTAACACGGTCCATAGATTTGTGTTACCATAGACTTGGATTAGAAGGATGTATGTGAATATGAACATAATGATCGGAACTATCTCAGCAATATCGAATTGCAAAGCGTGACGTAATAGGCAGTGTTCTGTAGGTATACCGTAAAGTGTATGCTTAAAACCTAGCAAAACCAAAGCATATATAAGCAACCAGAAAAGATGCACTGAGGTGCACCTCGACCGTTCCTAAAACCAGCACTGTCCGTCCGACAGCTATCCCGTCCCTCACCTGAGCTGCATCTCCCACTGGATCACGGTGGCCACTCCGCGGCTCTCGTAGAAGCGCAGCACCCTCTGCACGTCAGCGCCAACCGTGTGGTTGTAGAACACAAAGTGGTTGACGCCCAGCAGCCGGTGGAACTCGATAAACTCCACCAGCCACACGGCGCGGTTGAACTGGTAGTGGAACGGCTTGACGCACACGGCGAAGTCGCCCAGCCGCTCCACGGACGGGTCCAGGTCGGACACTGCCACCTGGTGGTGGCCAAAGGAAACTGGGTGAAAGGTAGCGCCGAGAGCGCCTACATGCATTTTGAACGAGCGGGAAATACGAAATGAAACTGGTTGAAATTTTGAGTTTTATCCTCTTTAATGATATTAATCAAATCTTAAAGATTTTAGCTTTTTAAAGCAAGCATCAACGCAATGGTCTGCTAGCTTTTTTAAAGAAGTATGACCTGTGCATTTGGTAGACATCTAGATTTGATATATCTACCTGAATAAAAGAGTGCGCTTATCATGTTCTGTCGGTTAACTGACAAGAGTCATGCCACAATCATAGACTCACAGTAGCCGGGTTGGGATCGTCCAGTTTCTCCACCAGTGACACCCTGAGCGGGAGTCTGTCGGTGTTACAGAGCACGAACCGGGCCGTGTAGGCCAGGCCCCAGTTCTCCCGGATCACCTTGTGTTCGGCGGTTACCGTCTCCTGCCGAGGGAAAGAGAGAGAGAGAGAGAGAGAGAGAGAGAGAGAGAGAGAGAGAGAGAGAGAGAGAGAGAGAGAGAGAGAGAGAGAGAGAGAGAGAGAGAGAGAGAGAGAGAGAGAGAAAGAGAGAACAGGTCATGTAGGCTGCCTATAGGCAGAGAACAAAGTGTCAACAGCCGAGAAAAAAATAGACCATCAGTCCATCAGTTGCCGAAACGGAGAACAGACTGTTCACTGACCAGAAAAAAAAATAGACGTTATCTGCCAAGAGTAGCCTACCTACTGTCTCAGGTCCAGGGACAGCAGAGTAACTGATGCCTACCTATAAAATTATAATGTCAAGAGAGAACAGGGAATGTGATCTGCCGGGACAGAACAAGACTGCTAAATGTCCCGAAGACCATAGGCGGCGGAACGGGGAGGGCACCGGTGCACCGTGCGCCCCCCTTTGATTTGGGCATTTTAACATAAGCCCTATGGACGTTGCATGGAAAGAATGGGACCAAAAGTCGGCAGTGCCCCCCCCCCCCTTAACCCTCGCCCGTATAGGGGGGGGGGGGTCGAACGGACCCCCCCCCCATGGTTTTTCGCAAATAACTCGCGTAAAAAGCGGCCGATCGCGACGAAACTTTCAGTACCCTCGCGTTAATCAATTTTACACCTACCCTGACAATTTCATGACTCTGACCCCAATGACCTTTGACCTGTGACCTACTTTTCGAGACCATGTTTGGCCGGAATCGCGATTCGGCGTATATCGGCTCGCATTTGCCGCGCGTTTGCAGTCTTTTCGTGGTTTCAAGCGTTCAAACATGTGATATGATGTTGCCCTCATGCATCAGGGTGGGTGTCAAGGTCACCTGAAGGTCAGGTCAGGTCATTGACCTTTGGTGACCTCGGGTGACCTCGGTTCACTTTTTCGAGTTTTACATGTTTCTAGGCTAGTTTTTGGAGCTGAATTCGAATTTAGCAGCCATTTGAACATTTACGAAGCAGTTTTGGTGCCTTCGTAACATGTTACGAAGCTGTCAGAGGCGGTTGACACCTACTAGGAATACCCGGCAGGACCCCTACTGGTTGACCTGACCTAACCTGACCCGACCTGGACTAAATGCATTAAGACATCATCTGTGATCAAAACTAACATGATATTCGTGATCAGCGCCCCGAAAAACCCCATAGCAGTCACACTTTACGACGTTCTAACGGGTCCCGATTTTCCGACTTTTGGGTCATTGACCTGACCTGCAAGGTCAACCAATGACCTAGGACCTTAAAATTAGGTATCATCGGCTTCCTCTCGTCACGGGCAACACGCTCGTTTTTTCCGCGAAGCTCTAGCTCAATCAGGGGCGAAACGGCAAGGGGGGGGTCCAACGGACCCCCCCCCCCCTTATACGTTCGTGGCTGGAAAAACACCAATACGGGCGAGGGTTAATTGAAGGTGTTCCGCCGCTACTGCCGAAGACAATTCAGACAATCCAAACTTGAGAGAGAGAGGCGGCACAGCTACCCCATCCCTCCTTGAACCGCTATCCACTGCCCTCACGGCTCTAAGGAGCTAATCAGGCACACTCAGGATTTTTTTTTTTTTGCAGCTAGAGAGACTTTGCGACGTATTTCGCTTTTATAAAAAAATGTCTGTAGAGGAACGAAGGAGGCATCATTGAATAATTCTATAATCTGCCTACCGTCTATCAACTTTACCGCTTAGATCACTGATTACATTCCATTGAATTTATTTATCCTTGAAATATAAATCAATATCAACGTGTCGGTGATTCACCTCAGTACGATTCCAATTCAATTCAGATCAATGAACCAATCGATCCACCTTATCAACTCAGATGGAAATGTAATTCAGTTGCTTGTTCCAGAACACTATACTTATTTTGTAAATAAATTAACCCTCGCCCGTATTGGTGTTTTTCCAGCCGCGACGTATAAGGGGGGGGGGGCCGTTGGACCCCCCCTTGCCGTTTCGCCCCTGATCAAGCTAGAGCTTCGCGGAAAAAAACGAGCGTGTTTCCCGTGACGAGAGGAAGCCGATAATACCCAATTTTAAGGTCCTAGGTAATTGGTTGACCTTGCAGGTCAGGTCAATGACCCCAAAGGGAGGAAATCGGGACCTGTTAGAACGTCGTAAAGTGTGGCTGCTATGGGGTTTTTCAGGGAGCTGATCACGAATATCATGTTAGTTTTGATCACAGATATGATGTCTTCATGTATTTAGGCCAGTTCGGGTCAGGTCAGGTCAGGTCATCCAGTAAGGGTATTCGTAGTAGGTGGCAACCGCCTCTGACAGCTTCGTAACATGTTACGAAGGCACCAAAACTACTTCGTAAATGTTCAAATGGTTGCTAAATTCGAATTCAGCTCCAAAAACTGGCCTAGAAACATGTAAAACTCGAAAAAGTGAACCGAGGTCATCAAAGGTCAATGACCTGACCTGACCTTCAGGTGACCTTGACACCCACCCTAATGCATGGGGGCAACATCATATCACATGTTTGAACGCTTGAAACCACGAAAAGACTGCAAACGCGCGGCTAATGCGAGCCGACATACGCCGAATCGCGATTCCAGCCAAACATGGTCTCGAAAAGTAGGTCGCAGGTCAAAGGTCATTTGGGTCAGGGTCATGAAATTTTCAGGGTAGGTGTGAAATTGACTAACGCGAGGGTACTGAAAGTTTCGTCGCAATCGGTCGCATTTTACGCGAGTTATTCGCGAAAAACCAATGGGGGGTGTTCGACCCCCCTCCCCATTACGGGCGAGGGTTAACCCTCGCCGACACAGGCCATTTTGCGTCCTTCGACGGCACAAGGGGGGGGGGGGGTTGGTACGACCCCCCCTCGCGTTTGGCCCCTGATCGAGCTAGAGCTTCGCGGAAAAAACGAGCGTGTTGCCCGTCACGAGAGGAAACCGATGATACCCAATTTTATGGTCCTAGGTCATCGGGTGACCTTCCAGGTCAGGTCAATGACCCGAAAACCGGGAAAATCGGGGCCTGTTAGAAAGTCGTAAAGTGTGGCTGCTATGTGGTTTTCCGTGGTGTTGATCACGAATATCGTGTTAGTTTTGATCAGAGATGATGTTTTTAAGCATTTAGACCAGGTCGGGTCAGGTCAGGTCAGGTCAACCGGTAGGGGCTGTGACGGGTATTCGTAATACGTGTCAACCGCCTCTGGCAGCTTTGTAACATGTTACGAAGGCACCAAAACTACTTCGTAAATGTACAAATGGTTGCTAAATTCGAATTCAGCTCCAAAAACTAGCCTAGAAACATGTAAAACTCGAAAAAGTGAACCGAGGTCACCCGAGGTCACCAAAGGTCAATGACCTGACCTGACCTTCAGGTGACCTTGACACCCACCCTAATGTATGGGAGCAACATCAAATCACATGTTTGAACGTTTGAAACCACGAAAAGCCTGCAAACGCCCGGCTAATGCGAGCCGACATACGCCGAATCACGATTTCGGCCAAACATGGTCACGGAAAAGAGGTCACAGGTCAAAGGTCATTGGGGCCAGGGTCATGAAATTTTCAGGTAACGTGTAAAATTGATCAATGCGAGGGTACTGAAAGTTTCGTCGCGATCGGCCGCTTTTTACCCGAGTTATTCGCGAAAAATCATGGGGGGGTCCGTTCGACCCCCCCCCCCTTATACGGGCGAGGGTTAACCCTATTAGTGGCAGGGGGGGTTGTTTTCATCCACCCCTCAGGTTTTTCGGGAATATATCCAAAACCGCTGAACCTACGATGCTGAAATTTTTTGACTTTTCCTAAAACTAAATTGGGCACATTCCCTGAAAATTTCAAGTTCATAACTTTACCAGGGGCGGCTCCAGAGCACTGGGAATTGGGGGGTCCTATTCGTGAAGCGAGTCATTTGGGCGAAGATCACGATGCTGATGTATTATAACTGTATGCACCAGTTTTACGAACAGTGAATGAAAGGTATCATGTGATAACATATACAAAGTTATTGTGCATCCTCTTTTGACACGTTTTTGCCGTAATAGGCGGATCCAGGCGTCCAAAAAGGGGGGGGGTATGTTTTACCTCCCAACATAGGTGCCCTGACACCGCCTATGCATGACCAATACAATTGTAGTCGTTCTCTCATAAGAAAATTGTAACATAACAAAACCATTACCACCCTTTTTAGAAACAGTATCAAAAAAACCTTATTTACTATACTTGTTATGTATCCCCAATCTCAATGATCTGTATCCGCCTATGATTTTTGAAAATGCATATTTTAGGATCCATGTGAACGCCTGATTCATTCTCTATCGATCGGCAAAAGTTGCGTTAAGATTGGTTCGGAAACCTGGCCGTGATAAACAGTCTAAAATGTATCTGCAATTTGCCCGTTTTTACCCCCCTCTATTGACATTTTTTTTTTTTAGAAATGTAGATCACGTTGAGCGAAATCGAATGCCGTTTGAATTTTGAAAATCGGCCCGTTAGATCTCGAGATATCAGGGGGGGGGGGTCGTAAACAGCCCCCCCTGCCACTAATAGGGGTAGCCAGGAGCCTGCCACTAATAGGGTTAAAGCGCGCGATGCAGCATTACAAAGAACAAACAGATACTGTGATTGGCATACTTATATAAACCGACGCGGGAACTACCGTTGTGAGTCACTGTGATATATCGAGTGGGCTCCCTCGCAGGAGGCGACTCAGTCCCCACTCATGTGAAGTCCCTCACTTTCGAGCCGTCGCTGTAGTGCAGGACGCACTGCAGGGCGCGGATGGTGCGCGGAAGACGTAGCCGACCCGTGGCGATAATACGAACAAACTTCTTATCCAGTCGCCTATCGAAGTAGGCGGAGAAGATGAAAAACTTTCCCTGTCGGTGAGCAAAGAGCACACAATATCTGTGAATGAACTGACGTGGCTTTGGCCAGCAAGGTAAAACGTTATCCATATCACGTCGTTCAACAATGGGTGCAGGAAATTCTTTCAAGTTTCACACAAATTTTGACAAAGTATTATCATTTAGGTACAACGTCAACTCAATTCGTCCCTCCTGCATTTCAAAGATGTTGCAGCGAAAAATGTATCTTTTTAAATTCTTTTCTCAGTCGAACTATTTGCTGATGCCCGAAAAGCAGATGATGTGCCATAGACGATGCATGACACCCACCAGCGAGTAGATAACGTTCTGCACCATTGACGTCACATATAAGTGACGTCACCAACTCACCACTGAGTTAGGTGACGTTCTGCACCACTGACGTCACATCTAAGTGACGTCACCAACTCACCACCGAGTATGTAACGTTCTGCCATGTGCTGCGCAGCCCCAGATAGGGACGCACGGCCTCATCAGCCGGCAGTTGACCGCTGGGCAGCGCTCGCGCCACCAGCACGGCCCCTCTGCTCTGCCCCTCGGGGAGTGGCGCCGGCTCCACCTTGACGGCGTGCACGCGGCTCCGCCCTCCCGATACTAAAATTGCCGGGGGAGTGGTGAACTGGGGCTCATCCTGCCAAAAAAAGGTGGGGTCAGTCAGAAAGCTAGACGGGTCAACACGTGGAGGTTAGAGAAAAAAGCAGGACCCAGGAAAATCGAAAGATAATAAAGTACCCAACAAGATGATATTTTTCAGATAGGATGATACTCGTATTTTCATTTTGTGCAATATATGTATTTACCTAGCAGACGGCAGTTGCAGTTGCTGCCACGTTTCGTCACTCACCAGTCAGAACGGGGGGGGGGGCGGGGGGCGGAGGGTGTTAAATGTTCCCAGCAGACAACTCGGAAATCAATTACCTACCCCAGCGAGACGGGCAAAAACCTCAATTGCCCTCGGATACGCCTCGGACAATGAAGCATGTTTCGGCGTTCACCCTCGGGCTACCGAAACGCCACATCATGCAACATATTTACTATTGCCCGCTACCCAGCACAGTATTCATTTAATTTTTCATTTAATTAATTACCTCGAATTATGTGACCTCGAATTAATTACTCATTTAATTAATTCGAGGTCACATTTAATTTTACTTTTATGTGACCTCGCCAAAAAAGTTGGCCACTGGCGATAGTGACCTCTGGAGAGCTGAGCTACTATTAGATACCTTATCGGCGCCAATTTAGTGGGTAATTGCTATCGGTCGTATCTGTGGCACGCGGTCCTGTGTAGCAATAGCTGTCGTAACACACTGGTTGCTTTGAGGCAGTGGAGTCCGCTACGTTGTAACCATCTCAACCGTCGTATATACTGGATAAACATCAAGGGTGGCGAAAGATGCCGATTGGAGTACTGCCTGCAGGTGCACAGTGTGGACCCTGAAGGACCTGACATTAGATATCCTCACCAAACACGAGAAAACTCGAGCCCCACCAAATCCTTATCATGCAACAAGCCAGACAACATTTAAACGGGTTACACACCCATTATAAATCCGAGCAAAATCAATATAAATTCGATACAAAGATCCGAATCGAGGCTGAAGAGGTGGCTTATGTTTGGATTGAATCCATAGTCAAAATCGTAGAACATTATATTTACAAAGTAATAACAAGACCACCAAATAGTCACTAAACATACCAAACTGCACGTAACAATAACATGAACGCCCGTATTGCTACTAAAATAACTGAGCGGCGCTGTTGGCGGCGTTGCGGTCCCTGCCGGTGGGTCATATTTCAATACCCTCCCTTGTGTTGGAATTGTACCGCTCCTTACAGTATGTGCTCGTTATCGACCGTGGAAGGCTCGCCAGGCAACACGGCGACACGCAATGACGGGCAGGCAGCGTGGTAACTATACGAGACCCACCTCCCCTACGGAGGGTCAGCCCTTACCCGACCCCGTGACCCGCTCAGACGGTCAGTGTTCGTTTCGTGACATGTGACCTTCATCTGATGAGTGACGTGTCAGACCCGATACTAGTCTCAGTGACCTCATCATCGTATGGGTAGGTAAATCCATTCATCAAAGCGACACAGCCGGTCATTCCGGCCAACCCATTGTTTCCACATGACGTGCAAAAGCAGTGGGCGAGTAAAAATACGAATGAAAATACGCTTCAGAACAGTGAACGCTACATTCATGGAACACTCGGCTTCAGCATTTCAGTGGACAACGAAAATCCGGATGAGACGTGTTGGTTCATCCCTTAGCCCTCGCGGGCCCGGAGGAGGGGGGTCGTCCCCCTCCAGCAGAACATTGGCGCTAGCTCCCGAACGCTTAGGGATAGAAAAAAAAACGAAACCCTTAGTCAGGGGCGGAGCTTCCTATTCACTTGGTGGGGCGGCTGCCCCATCAACTTGCCATTTTGCCCCACCTAAGCGTTTTGTCCCACCAACTTAAGCCGATTTGCAGGACTTTACTGCTTAGCAAACCAGTGTTTTTTTCGCATTGAGGAGCTTTGAAATGTCTGTGTTATGCAAAATATTATCTCTGTAATGAAAATAACTAATTTATTGTCGTATTTTATCGAACTTAACAGTCGGACGTTGTAGAATTCACAACTTTTTGCCCCACCAACTTTCCTGGAAAAGCTCCATCCATACTCTTCGTACCCTTTTCCTTATCAACTTCATATCTTCTTGAGTTTAAAAAAGGACCTAGCCCCCTTTGATGACGCGACAGGATCGATTTTTCTAGACCCCTGCACGGCAAACTTCGGCGTCATGGACGGGAACTTCAAATAGATGCCAAAATAAAGGATTAGATGTAAAAATAATTTATGCGCACGGTTGTGTTACGTCTTACCTAGGTAAAAAATGATTTTGGTGACCTGAGGTCAGACCTGAGGTCAACGGCTGGGGTTTTAGTTTTTCCCAAATGATTTTAACAAAAATGGGCCTAGAGCTCCGGCAGTGGCACCAACGCATTTGTCTTGTCAAGCCGCTTCGAAATTCGAATGACATATATGTATGCTTTGTTTGGAAAAGGTCAAGTTGTGACCTCATGTGTGACTGAGCCAGCGACTGATGCGGAGGTTGACGCTCGCAGCGGTGATGCCGATGGTGTCGGGGGTGACACTGCTGCCACAGACGATTTGTCGGCCATCAGCGAGCTGGCGTACCAGAGCTGGACACCCCGGTGATCGGCGAACTCTGTACTTTGCCCGCCGCAACATTTCGCCCAATATCACGCGGAACGCACAGCGTGGTTTCAAACTGTGATGCGTGCCGCGCAGTGGACCCGGCACCCACTAAGTGGCGTGGCGGGGAGCTGTGGAAGTGAGACCTTGCCATTGAGTTTACACACTACCGCGATCAGTCGTAGGTGCTTATCTGTCACTGATTGCGATCCGTCGTGGTGTTGCGTGTGGCGCCCACTACGCGGGTCGGACTCGGGCAATGTGACGGCGCAGCTGAGGCAGATATTTTTAGAGCATGGCTCCCCAGTCGAACTGCTGGCGGATAACGGCACCGTATTCCGTAGCCGGGAATTTGCAGTGCTCGCTGCGCTTCAGAGCAATGCACCGGTCAACTGGGAACTCGATTGTGGAGCGGAACCACAGGTCGGTGAAGGTCATCGCTGCTCGCACCCAGTGCCCTGCGTCCCGGGCTGCACAGGTGTACAATGCTTCCCCTCATGATGGTGCATCGACGGCGTCATCCTCCGGAAGTCAGACTCTGGACTGTAATCGCCACGCCTCGTGTGGATTGTCCATGACGGTAATACAATACAATACAATACAATACAATACAATACAAGTGTTGCGTGCACCTATTCTGCGCGCGACCGAGTTCGCCCAACTGCCGGGAACTGGGAGGAGGGCCGAGATTGTCCATCACGAGCTGCCCCGTACCGTGATGGGGACGCAAGGCGGGTCGGAAGCCCGGGACAAGGTGCACCCTCCCTTTGCGTGATCCTTGATGGTCAGGAGGGGGACGTAGCTTAGTCAGTGTAACTAGTTAGTCAGTGTTCAGTGTACTTTGTTCGTCCAGAGGAGAGGGGACAATGGCGTGTCGCATTCAGGGCCGCTGGCAAATTTTAGGTAAGTTTATAGGTAAAGACAAATTACGAACACATTTGTGTACCTTTTGACATAAAAAAAAAATAAAAAATGTAATTTTGGTGACCTAAGGTAGGTCAGGTCAACGACCCCAGGTGGTTTTTTTTAATAACTTCAACAAAAATGACCCTAGAGATACGGCAGCCAACGCATTCGTATTGTCAAGCCGCGTCGACTAACATAATTGTTTGGAAAAGGTCAGGTTTATGTTGACATCATGTGACGTCGAATGACCTTTAGTTGACCTTGGCAAATCAATGGTCGTACTTATATGATGGATTCATCAAGCTTTTGATCAAGAATCTGGCATCTATTTTGCTCTAAGCATTCATTTGGAGCCTCCGGATAGCAAAATTATCTCAATTACTATTACTAACTTGAATCAGTGAAATAGCCTCCAGCAAGGATTCAGTGACCTCAACTTTGGAGCAGCCTTTTATCGTAAGATGTGAACCACAAACAGGTGCCTGATAAGCTTTAAAGCATTTCAAAACATCTCTGAATTTAGCATACAAGATATAGGTACGAAAAGTGCAAAGTTTGAGGTAAACCTTGAATGTTGAGCACATCTTCGAAATCATCCCATTCTTTTAGTTCATTTCACACCGATTTCGGGCGTTCTTATGCATCATGTAATCCTCTGAAACACTTACTTTGAGATCACTATGCACACATGTGCCGGTTTTTGCTTTTGACGATGACCTCTGACGTTGAAAATCGACCTGAGGTCAAACATTTTATGTGCTTTATTGAATCGTCTTGTAAAACCTTTCGTGTGGTACCGCTTTTGTTCCCGTAGTTTTCCTTATTTACGGAGTTAGCCCCGGGGGGGGGGGGGGCGAAAACGCCCCCAGGTGCGGTGGTTGAGATAGCCCCCGGGCCCGGCCGGGTTAATGTCGTTTGTAACATCAACCCGGCTATCCATGTATCAACCCTCGCATGTGTAGGGGGGGGGGTCGGATGGACCCCCCCATGGTTTTTCGCGAATAACTCGCGTAAAAAGCGGCCGATCGCGACGAAACTTTCAGTACCCTCGCATGATTGATCAATTTTACACCTACCCTGAAAATTTCATGAGCCTGACCCAAATGACCTTTGACCTGTGACCTCTTTTCCGAGACCATGTTTGGCCGGAATCGCGATTCTGCGTATGTCGGCTCGCATTAGCCGCGCGTTTGCAAGCTTTTCGTGGTTTCAAACGTTCAAACATGTGATTTGATGTTGCTCCCATGCATTAGGGTGGGTGTCAAGGTCACCTGAAGGTCAGGTCAGGTCATTGACCTTTGGTGACCTCGGGTGACCTCGGTTCACTTTTTCGAGTTTTACATGTTTCTAGGCTAGTTTTTGGAGCTGAATTCGAATTTAGCAACCATTTGAACATTTACGAAGTAGTTTTGGTGCCTTCGTAACATGTTACGAATCTGTCAGAGGCGGTTGACACGTACTACGAATACCTGTCACAGCCCCTACTGGTTGACCTGACCTGACCTGACCCGACCTGGTCTAAATGCTTAAAGACATCATCATCATCTGTGATCAAAACTAGCACGATATTCGTGATCAGCACCCCGAAAAACCCCTTAGCAGCCACACTTTACGACTTTCTAATAGGTCCCGATTTTCCCGACTTTGGGTCATTGACCTGACCTGGAAGGTCAACCAATGACCTAGGACATTAACCCGCGCACCGACGGGGGTCTGCGCCAACTTAGTACCGACGGGGGGGGGGCGGATGACCGCCCCCCCCTGAGATCTCGAGAACGAAGCAAGATAGCGACAAGCGGTAAACGGCATCGGATACGCACGGCCAAGATCTACAATTTTTACTAAGGTCATTTTCAGGTCAGGTCAAAGATGACGTCACAGGGGTCGAAAAAGTCAAAATGGCGGCGCTGAATATGGAGAGAGTTTTTCTCGAATAACTTTCGAATTAGTCAAGATAGGAACAAACTAAGGGCATCATCGTGATCCTCTCGTCAATCCGCATCGAATGATATATATGTTGACCTCGAAAGGTCAAGGTCAAAGGTTGACCTCAGGTCACGTGACCTCGAGGTCATCATGTATATCATTCGATGCGTCTTGACGAGCTGAACATAATGAGACCATCCACGCGTCTGTATCTTGTTCCTGTACGGAGTTATTGGCCAAAAACCTTTGGTGACCTTTGATGACGTCACATGACCTCACAGCTGCCCAACAGCAAAACAGACCTCAAGGTAGTGAAGGTTGATCGTATATGAAGTCATGTATGGTATATGGGGCCATTCCGACCCGTTTTAGTGGTAAAAACAGGGAGTTGATTTTTCCCCCATTGACTTATAATGGGGAGGTCGCGAAATTGACCTGACCTTAGGTCACCGATATCAAAATTCCGAGATATACAAATTGTAGCTACTAATGACCTAATAACATCCTGCGACTTTCAAAGGCCTCCGACATCTACTGTAGCTCTGGCACGGTGACAAAGTTGCAAAAAAGTGACTTGAGGTTGGGTCATTCAAAGTGACCTGGTGACCTGACCTTGAAAGGTAGGAGGTTCAAACTTGCACACCATGTGTAAAATTGATAAGGGAATAGTCATACCAAATTTCGCGGCGCTACGCGCCGCGGTTTTCCCGCTATTCGCGAAAAACCTCAGGGGGGGGCGGATATCCGCCCCCCCCCGTCGGTGCGCGGGTTAAAATTGGGTATCATCGGCTTCCTCTCGTCACGGGCAACACGCTCGTTTTTTCCGCGAAGCTCTAGCTCGATCAGGGGCCAAACGGCAAGGGGGGGTCCAACCGACCCCCCCCCCCCCTACACATTAGAAGCTGGCAAACACCGCACACATGCGAGGGTTAATAAAACATTACTTACACGCTATGCTTATCTTTTTATAAAAGATAAGGAGTGTGGGCTCTGAGTCTGGGAAAAGGAACTTCAGACGCGATTCATCGATATATTATTCTGAGTATTTCTGAAGAGAAACCACACCAAACTACTCTCCTCTTCTTTCTCCCATTCGCTTTCCCTCCAACTATCTCCTCTGGCCTCTCTCTCTCTCTCTCTCTCTCTCTCTCTCTCTCTCTCTCTCTCTCTCTCTCTCTCTCTCTCTCTCTCTCTCTCTCTCTCTCTCTCTTTCTCTCTCACCTGTGAGTTACCGTAGATAAAAACTGTGACCTTGAAGACGAATATGCCGGTAAGGATGCAGGCCAGCAGAAGCTTCTTTCGTAGGTGTATTCGCATCTTGTCTTTTTGTCGAAGATCTAGTTATTGTGCTGCGTCAATGTTACGCATCAGGCACCCGGCAGACTTGCACAAGTACAACGTGGTGAGAATGCGCGAATGTTCAGAGGATGGCACAGCTGCTCGTCAAGCTGTAGCCTGGCTGAGGATCGATGTACCGGGCTGTTTTTATCAGCATCGGTGTTGTCACCAGTTTTGCTCGTGTCCTTTATTTATTACCTCACCAGTGACGACAGCCGACCACCAGCTGACTTCAGATCCCATTTCCACTTCACTGGAGTTTGTTAAAATATACTTGACTTGTGATTATGCGCACGAGAAGTATGATGGCAGGACGTTACCGCGTTCTTTTTCCTCCGACATGCATCGTGCCGACGTTTTCAGTGCATCGTCAGGTCACTCCTCACACGATTGCAGCTGGTCAGGATGACTCTAGGCTCTGGAGTTAGTTAGTGGCTTTTTATTAAGCTAGTGCAAACGTAACGACGTTGTCTTGCTCTGAACGGAATGCTCGGTCAGATCCAAGCATTTGGTTCGATTCTGTGCCGACGGAGGTCTATGAAGGTGCACTTTTCACCACTAACCGCTACCCCGACTTCACGTCGGCCGAACTTCTCTCATATGTCAAATCCGTCACACTAACAGCCCTCTCAATGGCTCAGAAGCGCTACGACCGCCTAAGAGGACCCGTCAAATGACACTAGCTGTCCGTTGGGGTGGTTGCAGCCCGACTTCTGAGCTCTGTTCTCTGACGCGACAGCTGTGCTGCTGATAGGTACCGGCTGTGTAACACCCCTTCACACAGTGTTTAGACAGGTTATACACGATGGGTAGAGGCCCGGTTATCAGTTAACAGTTATCATGCAGGTGGTCGCCGATTGGAGCTGGGAACACGTGGATGTATCTCACATTGTACGGAAATCAGCAGCGTTCGTACGGAAATCAGAAGCGTCCGTACGAAAATCAGCAGCGTCCGTACGAAAATCCGTAGCAGAAGAACAGTGGTAATCTCGGAGGCTGCAGAGCACCAGCTGCAGATATTCCGGGTCTTACGAGTGAGCTTATTAGACCGAGGAGTGATGCCCCGGTCTTTCACAGACACCAGTGTCACCAGTGACACACCCCAGCACCGTCACCAGTGACAGGTCGGCACCGTCACCAGACCAACCGCGTGCTCGTCCGTCCAACACTGGCGTTTGCGCCGATACGGTGTTCACGCCTGTACCACAATCGCACTGCCCCCGTCCCCCTGCCCCCACCCCCCACCCAGTGCCCGCGGGGGGCAGCCCGCGCCCCGCGCGCCGAAACTCCTCAATCGATATGGGTGGTATCACAGCAACCCTCGTGGACGGTTTGACGAACCTGCGCTGCCACATGCGGAACGAATGGTTCGCACGGCGAATAGGGCAGACGGCTGGCTTCGTGCATGCTTTCAGACTGGCTAATTGTAGACCTAGTGCTATGGATTACCATTAGGTAGGTATAATCAATAAGACAAAGTTGCATAAGACATTGTATTGTATGAATGCTGAATAACATTATCAAAATGGAAATATGTGGATGTCGGTTGACCTTTGATAGATGTACGATGTTCTCCCCATGCGTTGTGGCGATGTGTATAAATCCCTTACTCCTATCATTTCGTAAATTAATTTGTTACATATTTGCGCAAATAAACAAACGGAAAATTTAGATAAATTTAATTTAACCCGCGCCCAAGTGGCGGTCTCAGCCAATTTCGCCCTAGTGGGGGGGGGGGGGCGGCATATGCTACCACCCACCTCTAACTCAAAAACTATGAGGGCTAGAAAGACGCGGTAAAAAGCAATAGATAGCTCTCAATGCGTACGTTTGAAAGCATTTCGGTCATTTTTCATCTTAGAGCAATATTGGGGTCACTGGAGGTCATCAAGGGTCAAAATTTGTCAAATGTCATTATATTTTTCCACAAACATGCATTTATCTCAGGAACTATGATAGCTAGAAAAACGCATGGAAAAGCAATCGATAGCTCTTGAACTCTTCTGTCGATAAGGTCATCATCAAAATTGACCTCAGGTCAAGGTCATGACCTGACCGGAAAAGGTCATGTTGCATATCAGTCGATTCGTCTCGGCAAGACAAACACAATGATATCATCCCCAGCGTTCTATCTCTTTCCAATCGAGAGTTATTGGCAAAAATCTGTTTGTAGCCTCAAATGACGTCTAATGACCTTTCTAGAGGATATCAGCAAAAACGACACCTTGGTCGTCACAGGTGGTCCAAATCATTGTGATTCTGAAATATTTGGCCTGTTCCTATGCGTACACACGGATCTAGAGGCATTTTCATTTTTCTCCATTGACTTAAAATGGTAAGGTCACGCCACTGACCTGACCTTAGGTCACGGAAATAAAAAATCCGAGATATACAAATTGTAGGCGCCCATAACTTCATGCAATCCACCAAGTTTAAAACCTCTATGACAAGCACTGCAGTCTGGACATGATTGCAAACTTTTGTTTAGGCTTGGACAGTTAACTTGACCTGGTGACCTGACCTGACATGACCTGGGGTCAAAAATTTCACACATTGTCCAAAATTGATGCACCAAAAGCTACTCCAAGCGGCGCGGTGCTACGCGCCGCGGTTTTTTATTCACACGCGAAAAACGCGACAGGCTGGTAACATATGCCCCCCCCCCCACTGGGGCGAAGGTCAAAGGGTAAACTTAGAAACGTAAAATTTTAATCCACGTCCCGTAGGGCTATCGGCGGACCCTACCATCCGTAGGGGGGGGGGGGCGTTTCGGCCCCCCCTAAGATCTCGGAAATTTTCCGGCCAATTTTCAAAATTCAAACGGTGTTCGACAGCCGTACCGGGGAACTACCTTGTGACAAAGTTTCGTTGAACTAGGTCAAACCGATGACGTCACAGGTCAGGTCAAAGGTCGGATTTTCACCGACCTTTGACCTGATGGTCGGTCAAAGGTCGAACAAGAAATGTTTTGTGAAATCGAGTAAATTGGTAAGTTATTAAAAACCGTCGATGGTACATTGTTCGTCAAACACATACTTTGCTTTCTGAGGTCGCTGATACCAGGTCAGGTCACAGAGGTCAGGTCACTGGGGGGTCTCAATATGAAAGTGTCGTGTGATACATGTTTTATGGTCCATTTTACATGACAAATGCGATTATGTGGGTCAGGCAGCCTTTGGGGCCAGCTTAGGTCACGTTTTGGTGAAGGTCAGGTCAAGGTCAGGTCAAATTAGGTCGAATTTCAAAGTTGATATTTTTGCATAAAATGGGTATTGATTCGATGCAGCTCGTCACGGGGAGCCTAATGGTGGTTTTTGGTTTGCCCTACGTGGTCTAGAATTGCCAAAAATGGAGTTTGAAAATTTGACGTCATCATTTTGAACAGTTTTGTTCGCTATAACTTGACCAAAAACGAGATATCGATCTGAAATTTGGTATGTAGAAAGAAGACGGCAGGTAATATCACATATATTCCGTTTTTTTCGAAACTCAAAAAACTTTGGATTTTTCGGCTAATATTTCCAAAAAAATGTTTTTATGTTTTTTAGGGGTCGAATCTCAAATTTCAAAAATCCGACATTGTAGTTTTGTAGTCCTGACAATTCTGAACCTCTTAAGTCTTGATCATTTTTTTTTTGTATCTTCAAAGCTGTAGGCCTGACAGCTCTTCTCGCGAAGGTCTTTTTTCGGTCGAAAATGGCAGAACATGACGTCATTCTGACGTCAATTGTGGCCAGCCTATCATAGCCCCTGACAACTTTTTTGTCACAATGTGTAAAATTGATGCCCGGAGGGGTCCTGAAAAATTGGTGGGATATATCCAGCCGTTTTGGAGATATCGACGGAAAAGGACAGGGGGCCGTTTCGCCCCCCCCCCCTACGGGGCGCGGGTTAATGGAAAATTTAAAAATGAAACTCAGCAAATGACCAAACCTTTTTCAGGACACCATCTTTTCATCATCGTTACCTACCTCAGCAAAGAAAATGTCTCACTTCGCATGCTAATCCAATTACACCAGAGCTACAGTTTTATCCTGAATGACATGCTTTTGGACACATTTCGTCGGCATGCTTTCACTTCACTTGGTTTAGTCGCGTGGTGCTGGCAAACTCTC